GCTACCACACCGTAACTACAATGTCTCCTTCACCATCACAAATCTTCATCACGCTCCTCATCATCCTCTTCCATTTCCACCATTCCTCTTCGTTCTCCCTCTCAGTAGAAAACCCCGAACAAAACTTCATACTCTCACCCAACCACACATTCACCGCAGGCTTCTATCCCGTAGGTGAAAATGCTTATTCCTTTGCCATTTGGTTCACGCAAAAACACAAACACCTTGACAGCAACAACAACAACGCCACCATTGTTTGGATGGCAAATCGTGACCAACCAGTCAACGGAAAACGCTCAACACTTTCTATTCTCACAACCGGCAACCTCGTCTTAACTGACGCAGCTCAATCCGTCGTTTGGTCCACAGACACCGCCTCATCAAAACCGCTTCAGTTACTCTTACACGAAACCGGTAACCTCGTTCTTCAAGAACTAAACACAAACGGTTCCATCAATAGCACTCTATGGCAAAGCTTTAATTTCCCAACTGATACACTTCTACCAGACCAAACTCTCACCAGATTCACGAAACTCGTTTCATCTAGAAGCGAAACAAATTTCTCATCTGGTTTCTACAAACTCTTCTTCGACAACGACAACATTCTCCGTCTTCTTTACGAAGGTCCTAGAGTTTCTAGTGTTTTTTGGCCAGATCCTTGGCTTACTAGCAACGGTGCTGCTGGAAGTGGTAGCAGATCAACTTACAACAGTAGCAGAATCGCTTCGTTGGATTCATTTGGTAGGTTTAGCTCTTCTGATAATTTCGTTTTCAATACTTTTGACTATGGAACATTGTTGCAACGTAGACTTACACTTGACCATGATGGTAACGTTCGCATTTATAGCAGAAAAGATGAGAAACAAAGTTGGTTTGTTTCCGGTCAATTTAAACAACAACCTTGTTTCGTTCATGGGATTTGTGGACCGAATAGTACTTGTAGTAATGATCCAATGAATGGTAGAAAGTGTTCCTGTTTACCTGGTTATGTTTGGATTAATGATCAAGATTATTATCAAGGTTGCAGACCCAATTTTCAACTTGCATGCAGTAACAAGACTCATGAGTCAAGGTTTTTGGCTTTACCTCATGTTGATTTTTATGGATATGATTATGCTTTCTATGTGAATAAAACTTACAAAGAATGTGAGGATCTGTGTTCAAATTTGTGTGGTTGTGCTGGATTTCAGTATACTTTTACAGCTGAATATGGTGGTTATTATTTATGTTATCCAAAGATTCAGTTGCTTAATGGCCATCATTCACAGAGTTTTCTAGGATCCTTCTACCTGAAGTTGCCGAAAAGTAGTGATTTTGTTGATGAGATGAAGATTCAACAAAATGGGATGGGGATGGTTTGTTCAAAGAATGGCGTAGTAGTAAAGCTTGAGCGAGAATACATAAAAGAGAAAGAAAATGGTTCCTTGAAGTTCATGCTTTGGTTTGCTGGTGGTTTAGGCGGAGTTGAACTCTTGGGATTTTTTCTTGTGTGGTTTTTCTTGTTTAGGAGTAGCAAAAACTCTGATGAAGACAATAATGGGTATATTCTAGCAGCAGCTGGATTTAGGAAATTTAGTTACTCTGAATTGAAACAAGCTACAAAAGGTTTTAGTCAAGAGATTGGAAGAGGTGCTGGTGGAAGCGTCTATAGGGCTGTTTTATCTGATAATCGTGTGGCTGCGATAAAGCGTTTGCATGAAGCAAATCAAGGAGAGAGTGAGAGTGAGTTTCTTGCTGAAGTTAGCATCATTGGAAGGCTTAACCACATGAATTTGATTGGAATGTGGGGTTATTGTGCAGAGGGAAAGCATAGGTTGTTGGTTTATGAGTACATGGAAAAGGGTACTTTGGCTGATAATCTCTCATCAAATGAACTTGATTGGGGCAAAAGGTATAACATTGCCATGGGAACTGCAAAGGGTCTTGCTTATTTACATGAAGAGTGTTTGGAGTGGATTTTGCATTGTGATATAAAGCCACAAAACATTCTTGTTGACTCTGATTACCAACCAAAGGTAGCTGATTTTGGTTTGTCTAAGCTATTGAATCGGGATGACCTTGATAATTCAAATTTCTCAAGGATAAGAGGGACAAGAGGTTACATGGCACCGGAATGGGTTTTCAACTTGCAAATCACTTCAAAGGTTGATGTTTATAGCTATGGAGTTGTGGTGTTGGAGATGATTACTGGAAAGAGTCCAACAACTGGTATACAGATCAAAGAAGAGTTGTGTCATGAGAGGTTGGTAACATGGGTCAGGGAGAAAAGAAGAGAAGGATTAGAAGTTGGTTGTTGGGTTGAACAAATTGTTGATCCTAAATTGGGATCAAACTATGATGTTAAGAAAATGGAGACTTTGGCAAATGTTGCTCTGGATTGTGTAGCAGATGATAAAGATGTTAGACCCACCATGAGTCAAGTTGTTGAGAGACTTCTAAGTCATGATCATAATTATTGATTGTATGCACAAAAAATTGCCATATCTCATGGCTATTAATTACTCAACTGTTCTACTTCTTATGTTTCCATTGTTCTTTACATGTAACTTGATTCAAAGAACCTATGATTAGGATTTCTTTTAAAGAATTAAATTGGCAACAGATAGGAAGTAGGAACAAGGAAAGGTGTTATCACTATTTTGTAGGTAGCATTTTAATAATTTAGTGTTGTATATTATGAGATAATGAGTAATAAGAGAGTGATCATAATTTTCACATCTCTATATTTTATATCTGTCTATTTTAAGCTCAATCAAATAAAATAAATAGACATATCACTTATTTTATACTTTACCATACAAGGAACAAGAGCTATTTGTGTTCAATAACCTTGAAAAGTCTTCTGTGAATACATTCAGGTTCATACTGGAGGATTCATCTTTTGCAACTGCTTGGTCACATATACGTTTGAGAGAAGAATATTGAAGGGACTGTTTGCTTTTCTTTTCTATATTGCACAAGTTAATTTTTTAATTTATAATTAGTGTTATTGAATTTTTAAATGATCATATATTATGATATTCTTCAGTTTTTTTTTTAATCTTAAATAAATGTTAAAATATAGTTCTAGTCCTCCAACACTTCTTAACCCACACGTTCCTTTACACTTTCATAAAATTTGTACATTTTGGAAATTGCTGGCTGAGAATGTAGCCAATTCATTTGAGAAAAGGGAGACTTTTTTTAATGTATCCTTATGTTTAGTCACCATGTAAAAATATCTGAATATTCTCAAATTTTGAAGTTGTATCAAAAATTTGATTGAACGTTTGAATTTTTCAAAAAAATATCTTCGGAATATTTTTGAGATTAAATCGCAGATCCTTCTTCTTCATTTCTTATTTTACACAAACTTTTTAAATTCTCTCAAATTTTTTCTCATCACCAAATCAAAAATCAAACAACAAAATTCAAGAGAACTTCAATCAACATCAAAAACATCATCCAACCTTCAAGCAAAGTAGAAATTTGTAAGTTTTTGGATGTTTTGATAAGTTTTTGAGTTTTTGTGTAAATGAGTATAAATTGATGAATAAAGTTAGAAATGAGTAGAAATTGCATGTATGATAGTTTAGACATAATGTACACGTTTGTTGGCCGAAAAGGATGATCAAACATTATTTTTTTGTGATTGCAAGTGTACTTGGCGCCATTGATGCAATTTCAGTTGCAGAAAATTTCGGAGATGCATCTCTGAAAATTTTCAACGTTTTACTTTCCCAGCAACCAGAGATGCATCTCCAGAATTTTCTCAGATTTTTTTTTTATTTTCTTGCTTGTGGTGTTGTTTGTTTGCACTAAGTGTCTGCTTTACTTTAACTTACAAGCATAATGGCTGATAAAAATGAAAGACTGAGGCACAGGCGAGTTGCTCAACACGCCTCAGTGCGGCGCGAGAAGAGTTAACAAGTTTCAGTGGCTCCTGGCCCTCTGGCTATGCAGAGCCATCTACTTCTGGAGCTCGAGCTTCTCTTCATGTTTCCCCATCTTCTTCTTTTTGTAGGAGACGAGATTCACCTACCGACGCATCACTCTCTCCATCCTCCCGCATGCGCCATGTTTCCCCTATTCAGGCATCTGAGGTACCCGAGTTACCAGTGGTATCAGAGGCACCACTGCCACCTCCTACCACTGATACTATAGATGCTTTTGAGTTAGTGTCATCTCTTACTAATGATGTTGTTGTGAGCCAGTTTCACCTCCAGAGGGTGAGACTGATGATGATACTAAGCTATAGGTATTTGGAGGTGGCCTTGTAGATTTGTCACTATTGCCTCTGTACCCAGACCATACTGCTAGACATATCTGAGACGAAGAAGTAGCATTAGTTGGATTCATTCTTTTTTTATTTATGTTTATTTTAATTGACAAGTTTCTGACATTGTTTTTTATTTTTTTCAGGAACGTGATTCGCTGAAGTTTATTAACCACGAGCAGAAGATTATTGGCTTTCCTCAGCTGAATGAGAATAGGTTTCAGACAATTTTGTCCTTATCTGGCCTGAAGGACTTGTGCATAACCGGTTATACTACGGTCAACCATGATATGCTTAATGCATTCGTGTAGAGATGGCACTCGGAGACCTCGTCATTTCATCTCCCGCTTGGTGAGATATCTATTACATTTGACAATGTCTTGTGTTTTCTACATCTTTCAATCAGGGGGAGGCATTCAAGATGATAAACAAATAACAATAATCTCATTTATCTCCCCACTAGAGGTGCTGAGTTCACTTGACATAATGGTATAAGGGGTAGTCAACTTATTGAAAGAAGGTTATATAGAGTCATATGTGATCAAAGTTGGATCCAATTTTGTAGCTCCTCCTCTTGCTCAACTCTTATTAGACATAAATCTGATCATTTCCCATTCTCTTGGACTTTAATTATCATAATGTTAAAACTAGATCAAGCTTTAAATTCCTCAAAATATGGTCTGAGCATCCTGAGTGCATCAAGGTTGTTCAAAACTGTTGGAACACTGAGGTATATGGTTGTCCTATGTTTATTCTTTCTCAAAAACTCAAGCTTCTCAAAGGTAAACTTAAAGCTTGGAATAAGGATGGTTTTGGCAATGTGCATGATATGTTAAACAAAGCTTTTGCTAATTTGAGGGCAGTCCTTTCTCAAATTCAACTTGAAGGTCAGAATGATGATCTGTTTGCTAAAGAAAAAAAGGCACAACTGGACTTGGAAACTGCTTTGAGTTGGAAGAATTGTTTTGGCAAGAGAAATCAAAATTCAGACGACATAATGAAGGAGACAGGAACGCTGCTTTCTTCCATAGGATTTCCAAAATTAGAAACTGCACTAAAGTTATATCTTCTATCCGTCATGAGGAGGACTTCTTCACTAACCCTGAGGAAATTTCCAACATTTTTGCTAGTCACTTTGAGAACCTGTTCAACACTAACAACAATTGCACTAAAAATGGTCTGGTGGAGAAGGTGGTTCCTAAGCTAGTGAATGAACAAACTAATTCCCTTCTAACAATGATTCCTAACAATGATTACTAGCATTAAATCTATACAGGTCTATATTTATTTATTTAAAATAACTCATATGTCTAAGAAATGAGTTTAAACGCAATGGCCACCGATTTACAAAAATTTCCTTATAATTTTAACCACTTTCCTACGCTTTTTTAGCCATCCTTAAGTAGCAGAGATAATATCATAATAATACACAAATAAATTTAATAAAAGTATCATTCTTTCAAAATTTACATATTTGTTGTTCTAAGATGTTTTGGTTTGTTAATCCTCTCGTTGATTGTATTCGCTAATTCGATTTTGGGGGATTTTTATTGTCGTTTTTTATTTTGTATTTTTCTTTTATTAGACTGAGTATCCCTTATACTCCTATTAGTACATTTCTTTCTTATAAAAAAAATATTAATTATGAGGTAGACACATTTTCGAGATTTATCAATATTTTTTTGTTTCAATAAGCAATAGATTGAAAAGGAGTACAAAAAGTGCTCAATAGAAATTACAATATCATTGGATCTTCAGATATTCAATAGGATTTCTTCACCAATTATAAAACAATAAAACCTTGCTACTCTTCAATCCTAAAATAATCAAATTCCAAGACATCAATTTAATATTATTTCTCCGAAGCCACAAACACCAACAAGTTGCCAATCAAATAAGCATATTTTTGTTCAACTTGCTTGTTTGATTAATGGCAGAGATTCAACTTAACAGGATGCTGCAAGAAATGTGCAAGCATTGACATCGACGCCTTCCACAACAATAACACAACATAGTTGTTAAATGTAATTCATTGTTTTGATTTGATTTGATATGATTAGATTTGATTTGAATATTTTGAGCCTTTTATGTTTTGGGCTTTTGTAAACCTAAAACTATAAATAGGGTGCCTTGCTTTGTATTCAAACACAACATAGAACAAATTTCACAGTTGCAGTTTGAGCAAGTGAAAGTTCTATAAGCAATAAGAAATCCCACAGTTATGGGTAACACATTCTCTCCAAATATTTCTTCTCTCATTCTTCTCTTTCTTGTTTGTTATTCTTCTTCTCTTCTGTTGTTCTTGATAATTACTTGTTATTACCATTACTATCATATTGTGGGTTTGTTCATCAATCTTGAGATCAAGATTGAAGGGAATTCTTCATAGGGTGTGAGGTGAATTTCCAACATCTGGTATCTAGAGCTCCGGTTGAGAGATTCAAGAAAGGAAGATAGTGATGGCGATGAACTATCCGAACGACAACTTTCCGACGACCCTGCCAATTCTCAAGAAAGACAATTATGAGAATTGGTGCAAGCAGATTAAGGTGATTTTCTGTTATCAAGATCTTTGGGATCTTGTGAAGGAGGGAGTAACATCGCTTGGGGAGAACGCAACGGAGGCAGAAAAGGCTGCGCACAAAGAATTGAAGAAGAAGGATTATAAAGCACTATTTATAATTCATCAGTGTGTTGATCCTGATAACTTTGAAAAGGTTAGTGATGTTGATTCAGCAAAAGAAGCATGAGAGATTCTTGAAAAGTCGTTTGGAGGCGCAGAGAAGGTGAAAGAGGTGAGGTTACAAACTCACAAGAGAACCTATGAGTTGCTTCAGATGGAAGACAATGAAAGCATTACAAATTTCTTCACCAGAGTTACAAAGTTGGTGAATCAAATCAAAGTATGTGGAGAAGCGCTGACGACGAAAGCAGTTGTCTCAAAGATTTTGAGATCGTTGGCTCAAAAATTCGATCACGTGGTAGTTACCATAGAAGAGTCGAAAAATCTATCAGTGTTGACAAAGGAAGAGCTTCAAGGGAATCTTGAGTCTCATGAACAAAGGATGACTGAGAGAGCTGCAGGAAAGTTGAAAGATATGGCTTTGCAGGCACAGACAGAAAAGGAATGAAAAGGCAAAGGTAGCTGGAATGGCAACAAAGGAGGAAACCAATCGAATCAAAAGAAACCTTGGAACCAAGGAAACCAAAGAGGTGGTGCTGCAGGTAAAGGAAGAGGTGGTGGTCGAAAGCCAGACAAAAGCCACATTCAGTGTTTCAATTTCCAGAAGTATGGTCATTATGCTAGTGATTGTCCAGAAAGGAAGAGAAATCAAGAAACTGATGCAAAGCTGGCGAAACATGAAGAAGAAGAAATGTTGCTAATGGTCATAACAAAAGATGAAGAAAGATTCCAAGATCAGTGGTACTTAGACTCAGGATGCTCATCACACATGACTGGAAGGAAAGATTGGTTTGTCAACATGAATCCCTCGTCGAAGAACACAGTGAAGTTTGCAAATGACAACACTCTAGCAGTTGAAGGTGTTGGTGATGTTCTGATTATGAGGAAAGATGGCAAAAGGTCAACAATTTCCAATGTGTTGTACATACCAGGCATGAAGAGTAATTTGCTCAGTATAGGGCAGCTTGTCGAAAATAACTACAAGGTAGTTGTTGAAGACAAGATGATGAGAGTTCTCGACGTAGGTGGTAGATTAATCTTGGAGGCTCCAATGTCTCAGAATAGGACCTTCAAGATTGGACTCAATGTGATGGAGCACAAGTGTCTAGCAACTGCAGCCAGCAAAGATGAGTGGTTATGGCATTTTCGACTAGGTCATCTCAACTTTAATGACATCAGAGAACTGAAGAGAAGAAATATGGTTTCAGGATTACCAGAAATCGACATTCCAAGTGAAGTCTGTGAGGAGTGTGTTCAGTCAAAACAACACAAGAATAGCTTCAGCAAGGATGCAGGAAGGAGGTCGAAGACAATACTTGAAGTCATATACTCTAATGTATGTGGTCCAATCCAGGTGGATTTGATTGGTGGCAATAGATACTTTGTCACGTTTATAGATGATTACAGTAGAAAGCTGTTGACTTACCTCATCAAGAAGAAAAGTGATGTGATTGAGGTATTTTCCAGATTCAAGTCCATGGTCGAAAGACAGAGTGGCCGAAAGCTGAAAATCCTGAGGACTGATGGTGGTGGAGAGTATGTGTCGAAAGAGTTCGATACACTATGTGTAAAAGAAGGGATTGTGCATGAGGTGGTGCCACCTTACACTCCACAGCAAAATGGGACTGCAGAACGCAAGAACAGAACCATCATGAATATGGTGAGAAGTATGTTGAATGAAAAGCATCTACCCAAAGAATTATGGGGAGAAGTAGTTTCGACAGTAACATATATATTGAACAGATGTCCGACGAAGAAGCTTGAAGGAATCACACCAGAAGAATGTTGGTCTGGTGTCAAGCCTAGTCTCAGTCACTTGAAGGTGTTTGGATATATAGCACATAGACATGTGCCAGATCAGTTGAGAAGGAAGCTTGATGATAAGTCGAATAAGATGATCTTGATAGGATATCATTCGACAGGAGGTTACAAGTTGTTCGACCTAGTGAATAAGCAGGTAGTGATCAGCAGGGACATGATCATAGATGAGCTTAAAGAATGAGATTGGACTGAGAATGCTAAGAAGGATTCAGTGAGAATCTCTTGTGAAGAACCAGCCACTAAAGTCGAAATAGAAGTTCGACAGGAACCAGTTGCAGATGAAGCAGGTTCAAGCAGACCTCGACGAACAAGACACATGCCTGCAAGGTTGCAAGAATGTGTAATTACATTAGATGATATAGTCGATGAAGAGGGTGAGTTGGTACATTATGCTTTCTACGCAGATATCGAACCAGTCAATGCAGTTGAGGCATTGAAAGATTCGAAGTGGATGAAAGCAATGATTGAAGAATTGGAGTCCATCGAAGTCCATGATACCTGGTCACTTGTTGAATTGCCACAAGGCAAAAAGGCAATTGATGTGAAGTGGGTTTACAAGGTGAAAGTAAATCCTAAAGGAGAAGTAACTCGACATAAGGCGAGACTTGTGGCGAAAGGATATCTTCAGAAGGAAGGAATCGACTTCGATGAAGTATTCGCACATGTTGCTAGAATCGAAACAATCAGGTTGGTTGTTGGTCTAGCAAATATGAACAACTGGCACACATGTCAGATGGACGTGAAGTGTGCATTCCTTAATGGCCCATTAGACGAAGAAGTTTATGTTGCACAACCAGCTGGGTTTATGAAACAAGGCGAAGAAAGAAAGGTGTACAGGCTTCATAAAGCCCTGTATGGACTTAAGCAAGCTCCAAGAGCTTGGAATAAGAAAATCGACAGCTTCTTAAGGGACAAGGAATTTATGAAGTGTACAACTGAGCATGGAGTATATGTAAGAAGAAGAAATGGAGAATTGCTTATACTATGTCTCTATGTTGATGATTTGTTGATAACAGGGAGTTGTAAGAAGGAGATCGAAGATTTCAAACATGACCTAAGTAAGGAGTTTGAAATGTCATACTTGGGAAATCTCTCATATTTCCTTGGCATCAAATTTTACAAGACAAGTAGAGGTTTGATGATGAATCAAAGAAGATATACAGGCGAAATACTCAAGAGATTTGAGATGCAAGATTGCAACCAAACTTCGACTCCAGCTGAGCCCAGATTGCAACTGTCGAAGGATTCAGATGAAGATGATGTCGACCCAACCCAATACAGAAGACTTACTGGGTCACTTAGATACCTTTGTCACACAAGGCCTGACTTAGCATACAGTGTTGGTATGGTAATTAGATTCATGCAGAAGCCAAAGATATCACACCTAGCAGCGACGAAGAGGATACTGAGGTATCTGAAAGGAACTCTCGACTATGGTATTTTGTTTCCAGCAGCTGATGAAGGAAATAATGCAAGTTAGTGGGATACACAGACTCTAGTTGATGTAGTGATGCTGAGGATCAAAAATTCACAGCTGGTTACGTGTTTATGTTAGGTGGTGCACTAGTTGCTTGGAATTCGAGAAAGGAACCAGTAGTGGCATTGTCATCATGTGAAGCAGAATATATAGTTGCTTCTCTTTGTGCATGTCAAGCAACTTGGATGGTGAACTTGGTCGAAGAAATCACAGGGAAGAATCATGG